GACCCTGCTCAGTTCAGACATACTCATTGGACAGAGAACAATAAATCACTGGACTCCCCACTGGGAGGGAAACTCCCTGAGGTCTCCGGGCCAAGCCAGAGTGCAACCAGTAAACATGCGTTTCTCACAGACAGGCAAGTAGAACATCTGCTTGTGTCCTCCACGCCTATTAGGATGTTGACTCTGTTAATTGTAGGCATAACAAGGGGACCCATCCGTGTTTTTGTTTTCACTCCCACCATAGGAATTCAATAACAGAGTTCTAACCCGGCCAGCTACCTCGCCAGTCAATTAGCAACTTGTCTTCTTACAGAGAATAGGAGAAATGCTTTGTCAGAAGCAAATGAGGAGTGGAGAAAGACAGCCAGGAGAAAAAACCCAAAAAAACTGTGAATGTCCCAGTGCGGACCACTGGGCTTCACCAGGGTGATAGTTTTAAATGGTTCTGAAGTTTCAAGACGGTGGGACCCATTTTTAAGTGCTCGGTTCCTCAGCCTTTCCGGCTGTGCTGTTAGTTTCCCAGCTCGGGATTTCCTGCAGGAATAGGTAGTCATCTTCTGCAGTTTCCTCAGTCTTAGAGTCCTGGGAGAAATGGAGAACATAGACGCCAAAAGGCCTGAAAACTAGTAATTACATCTTAGTAAATTACCTGCATTTTAAAGTTGTACTGGGTAAATATTACACTCATGAGTTCATCAAATTAACCCACTGGGACATTTTGAAGTATTGGTGAAATTTAGTTCTATAGGCCACAGATTCTGTTCTAAAAGTATCAGAATTTGTAAGGGGTGTTTAGCACCCCAAAATTCAGGTTTCTGCTATCTGCCTATAAAGTACTAAATTTATAAAGTACTTAAACAGCATTTAATATAATTTTCACTGCTATTTACCCAGTAACTTATTCTCATTCACAAAAATAACAATCTAATAGCAAGCTTCTATATAAAATCATGAAAACGTTTTTGACATTTCACTTACACAAGTTTTCTCTCTGTCAAATAATCATTCTGCTATTCTAATAAGGAATAAGAATATAATATTAATTCCATCTTCATTTCCATTCATTATTTCTGATGATTGTGAACACTGACAATGGCCATGAATAATGACAACAGAGTAGAAGCAAGAAGTGGGGAATGTTTAGCAACTGGCTTGCTCCCTGTGTCCAACAATGTCTCTGAAATGTAACAGCTGTATGTCTGTGGCAGCAGTCCTTTAACTGAGGAAATAAAAAAGAACATAAAACTGCCCTGAAATTAAATTTGAAGATGGACTTCACGTCACTAAGTTAAAATTTCTGAACTTCTCCAAAGGTAAGCACAACAAAGTAACAACTCATTTGCTAAACGTTCTGCCTAAAAATAGTATTTTTCAAACATCTGGAAACATTCCTTTGCCTGCCTTCTAAAATCTTTAAGATTACTCATTGCTGAAGGTTGATGAGGAAACTTTATTATTTTTAAGATGTTTTGTATTGATTTTAGAGAGGAAGAGAGAGGGGGAGAGAGATAGAAACATCAATGATGAGAGAGAATCATTGATCAGCTGCCTCCTGCACTGGAGATCGAGTCCGCAACCTGCGCATGTGCCCTGACCTCCTGGTTCAGAGGTTGACGCTCAACCACTGAGCAACACAGGCTGGATGATGAAGAAACTTTCTTTAAGTGACTGTGGAACAGACATTCTCCACATTGGGACTATTTTGCTACAGGACTTCTCCAGTTCTTAGTGTCCTGGGCTGTGCATGGCTAAGAGGTCTATTTTTTAAAAGTTCATAGAAACCCTCAGCACGCCTACCTTAGCTTTCAGCCATCAGACAGCCTCTATGCAGCTTCAGTCACTGTATCCATTTTCACCTCACTCCGGTGGCCTCAGTGCCTTGGAGACTCTCATTACTCCTTTGTCCTTATCACTACTACAAATTCTGTTTCTAAGTTAAACTGGGACAGTGCCTTCATTGTAGCTTGGATCTATGCTACAGTGACTTCTATATCCCCTGTTGTCCTTTTCTCAATCACAGTTGGGTTGAAAGAAATAGTACATTTGTACACATTGGTTTTGTTCATGTTATGCACTGATGAAAACAGAAAAGGAATACTTACGGTCTATGACTTCAGTACTTAGCCACTAAGCCATCCAACATCCTCATAATAGAAAATGCAACACCTACTTTAAATACCCACTAAAGAACATTTTATTGGGACTATGACCAGAAAAAAAAAGGGGGATTTTTCTAAATAAGGGATTTGTTACAAGAATGATGTGAAAAATTTTCCCTAAAAGTTTGTGCTATTCTCCAAAACCTGGCATGTGAATTTTAGGGAAAAAAAATATAGGCAATGTTTATAATAAAGTATATAATTTGATTTTATGTTTAAAATTAGTATGCATGTGCTTTATACATTTCTGAGATATAAATCTAACTTAGTTGATTAGATTTTCTTGATGCAAGCCTACAAGTAAAGCTACGTCCCTCAGAGAACACAGCAGACTCCACAGCTGGACAACTGATTAGGCATGACACGGCCAAGTCAGTTTATCATGAAAACTGACCAGATTTCCTGCACACTAATGCAGCACAGTTTTGATAACTAAGAGATATGATAAAGCATGTCATAATTCACATTGCTGTAATCTAGACTTAACCAAAAACTCAGCAGGTTAGAAAGCATTAATTGATGTGGTGATCATTATGTCTAAGTTGAGCACCAAGGTGATAATTTGTTAAATGCTTCAAAAAATTTCTGACACTCTCTAGCATAGATGAGGCTAAGTTCTATAAAATTCACCAAAGTCAACAAACAAACTAAAACATAGGGGTGGGAGTAACAGAAATGGTGTTTATTCTTTAAACCTTGTGCTTCTTAAAAAACAAGCAGCTAAATCACTTTAACCACAGAATAACAAAATGTCAGGATCAAGAGGGGAAAAATTACATCTAGTGAGGGACATACTTAAGAAAAACAACGTAGAGTTTACCGTTACTGTATACATTTGATGATCGTACACAAGGAGAAGCTCAAATCAAAATGAAAACTCTTATGTCAAATTTTCTCTGAACAATTCTCTGCACATTTCATACCCTTTGTACAATTGTAAACTGTTTTTACACCTGTCGTGCATAGCAGCCTGGACACCATGTTCTCATAGCATTGCTGATGTTGATCTTGTCACGCAATACAATGTTCTGTTTACTTTCCAATAAGTACCTTAAGGATAAAAACAACATATCTTATTTTCTCTCTGTTACTAGCATCTAGCATACAGTTGTTCTATAACTGCTTAAGGAATTATACTAAATCCAGCATGGTAACTTTTAAGCACAAGGAAAATCTATTTCATTTTATTTCTTGTGTTACACATTTACACACTAAGGAGAGGTGTGTTTGTGTGTATAGACAAATTAAACATTTATGTTTATATATGATGTGTATATACTTTTATATGTAATGATATGTAACAGCATATGTAATTACATATAAATTATATATGTATAATAAACTGCTCTGTCATTAAACTCTCAAGTTTTCATCCTTGAATAGTGTGATTTTGAGTGGATAAATTATTTCAAATTATTGATAAATATTTTGGTATTGTATGTGGTCAGACATAAAAGTTCAGCATTTAAGTCCCCAGCCCCCATCAAAAAAGTGTTCCAAAGGACTCCTTTCTTCTGACTACAGGTGGGGCCTCAGCGGCCTTCATCCCTGCTGGGGAAGGAGCTACACCTCTCCTTCCTGGGAGGATCAGGAAACCAGGCAAGACAACGGAGAAATAAACAGAATAGAAAGGCAAGCATCTAGGCTCTCATGGGAATATGAACTGAGATATAGAGTCGAATGAGCCATGATTCGAATAAAATGATGAGATGCAGTCATGATGGCCAGACAGCCTTCAATTTCGTAGCCTGTGGAATAGTAGGATTTAAGGATTTCTTTAAAAAGAAATCAGGTCTACGTATCCCGATTGACATGCATTTTCTAGAATTCTGGAGAATTATCTCGATTCCTATAATGTGCTGATGGGTGGTGTAAAACACTGATGTAACTGATCATGGGTGTCTGTACTAAAATGCTCCCAAAATCACATTCCTCCTCTAGGGGCTTGAGCATGACTCAGCCAAAGTATTCAACTAAAAGGAATTAATTATCCAGGTGATGTAAATTTTTTCTAAGTAGTTTTTGTATCTTATTTTTCTTTTGTTTATAGACTATAGGACCACATATGAAAGACAAGCCTACTGGTCTATGACACAAAGACTTCCTCCTCAGGACCTCAAAGTAGGGGACATCGGCCTTAACAATTAGTTCTCTGAATTCATTGACTCTAAAGAAAAAGCAGGCTCATATTCCTTTGGTCAAAAATGGCCATTCCTGTTCTGTATCTACTAGTGTCTTGCAGGAAAACAGAAAATAAGGCAAAAGATTGAGCTTTTCAATAAATATTATATGTTAGGAAGAACATAAGAGATAAGTATTTTGTGCTATAATTTACTAGTATACTCGGGAATAAAATAATTTATTTTTTTCAATTCCTCTCCATATGCTCCTATGAAACAATTTTTCTTGGGTAGCATATAGCCACTGCCATCCCACAAATATTTTTAATGCATTTAAATATAACAGAATACTATGTAACACGGCCATACACCAAACACCCATGACTTAATGTATACAAAAACTTGTGTTTTTTAAACAATTGTAAACACTGAATTTTATTCAAATAAAAATAGCCATGGAGAGGTGTTGTTTCCAGTTGAAGAGGTGTGCTTATTTAAAAGATAAAGCCAATAAAGAAAGCTGCTAAGTCTTTAATTACGGGTTTTCCATCCATTGCTGATCATTCAAGCTCAGATTCTGCACCAGAAAGCCATACTGGATTGCTAATTTTCTGGCAGGATGGAGAAAGTGACAGATTAAGACGACCAGTTTTATCATGAGTTCTTTATCTAGATTCTCCTCCAACCCCCGAGAGAATTCCTTGAAAGATTTAAGTAGAAATGTTTTCAATGATTCATTTTTATTTTACTTCGTTAGGGAAAAGATTTACACAGATTAGACAAAACTAAAGGAAACCAAAATATTAAGTATTTCAGCTATTACTGAGGCAATCACTTGTTTTAATCTCCTGGAACATTCTTGATGTTAAACAGTCTGTTCTGTGGGTCCCGTAACCGTAGTCCAAATATTTTACAACATGTCTCCCACTTTGGGATTCTGAACAAATGGTCATAACAATCTCCCCACTTCCCAATCGCATTAAAAGCTCCCACTTCCCAAACAATGATGGCAGCTTTTTCAAGGACTAAGTAGTTTCTGTGCATATGTTCTCATACCCTTTAAAAAGAGACTTTAAAAAACTTGTAAAGCTCATTGTCAGGGGGAAAGCTTCCTTACTGTAACTTTGTGACCTGTTGGATCTCCATAGTGAGAAGGTGTGTGTTATAAAGTGGTATTTGCATGGCACCTCATCAAAGGAAGCTCAGTTCTTGCAGAGAGCAGTACAGACAACTGCCTGGCCACCCTCGCCCTGGCCAGGCGGTGCTGAACCAGTGCTCCGAGCACCGCAGTCCCTGAGCATGAGGGTGAAGAGCAGCCAGGGGATGTCAGGCTTCCTCAGTCACTCAGTCACCAAGCGGAGACGGAATGTCTGGCTAAGGTAACTACATGCTTCATTTCCCTGAGGGCTGCTGCTGTCCTGCCTCAGAGGAACTCGGGGTCACCAGGTGACCTCTGCTTAGGAACAGTCAGCCATGCAAACCCTGAGAACTGCAGGGACAACGAGGGATTGTTACCTAAACGCTCAGGGGGTGAGGACGGCCACGAACCCCGTCTTCACACCCACGCGGGAAGTCCTCCTTGTGACCTCCAGCCGCCGAGGGGACCCACCTGGGAAGTCACCAGGTGACTAAAACCCTGGTCCTTAAATGTGATCTATGCTAGAATAACCGAATTTCTTTTCTTTTAAAAAAAAGTATGTGTGTGTGTGTAAGCATGTATCTATCTCGCCCAAGGTCTTTTCCCCAAAACAGCAAATTTATTCCCAGGCTACTATTTTAGAACCTTTCTCTATGACAGGGTGATAATTATGACGCTTGAATAGAATCAGATACTACCCGTAACGAAGGCTGGTGCATAAGAAGAGTGGAAAACACACGTATCTGGTTAGACACTGCAAACTGGCTGGTTTAATTCCATTGTGCTTGTTTGTTTGTATTTGTCGGCATAAATCATTGGGATCGGCAGCCTCTCCCCTCTGACACAAAAGCAGGAAGCGTGGAAAGGGAGTCTCTGTGTTGGCCGCTGCCTAGATCGGAACATGAAAACCGGACAGAATCAAACCCTGGCCGGGCCGAGGGGGCGAGCAGAGAGGCTCCTATCTGATCAAACCTTTAACCTCACCGCTTCCTTTCCTTCTCTGAGTATTTATTTTAACTAAATTTTAGTCTTTGGACTGCGGTGCCAGAAATATTCTTACATGTTCAGATAAGGCACTTTCATCCAGTTCCAAAAATGTTGAGGGTGAGGGTCAGATCTGAAGTCCTGCTTATCCTGAGGCAACCGTCTCCAACCGACGGCGCTTGGAATGTCTTGACGGACGGACGGACGGATGTCCCTGCAGCGGACCGGAGACTGTTTGCTGTCTTGTTTTCTGATCTCCGCCATCGCCCTTTTCTGAATTTACATAGCAGCAGAGACAACAAATTGCTTCTAGGTTCTTCCAAAGCGGAGCCGAGAGCAGAAGGCCCCGTGGATTTTTTTTCAGCTTGACCCTACCTGTTTGGCTTTGGCCACTGGACCATGCCAGCATTCCGGGGCCATGAGGAATGCCGTGCTTGCAACCCAACAGGAAGAGGAGTAAGCCAGGCGTTGACATCACCTGACAGATGTGTTTCTCAAGTGGGGAATTTTATTCAAGGCTTTCTCACGGAAATCACTGACACAGAAAAGACAGAAAGACAAGAGAGGCAGGAAGTCGGTGCCACGATGGGCATGCTTTGGCCCCATACAAAACTGTCGCCACCGCCCCCTCTTTCTCTCCACCCCCCTCCTCATTCATCCTTTCTGCCTGGAAGTAAATGTTTCTGAAATACTATAGCTACCGGCAGAACAGCAACACATAATAACATGGTAGCAACACATAAAACTGTCAGTCTTCAAGGAAAATAGATGGTTAGGCTGAGGGGGTGAATGGACTAAATCAATTTGAACACGCATGTTAAGGACTGTGAAAGGGCAGCGTGTAGTGCTGCTGGGCTGGAAAACATTTGTCTCTGTCTCCTTGTGTTTCCACAGCGCTGGGCACCATCCACCCACAGGCCTCTCTCCTGGCTCCAGTCTGACTCTGTGGCTGATTAATGGCAGCTGGAGGTGTCCAGCAATTTCCTCACCTAATAATAAACTGCAACCCAAAGTGGAGGTTCCCCTCAGGCCCACAGTTAGCATGCCTATACTTACAACCGGGAGGCAGCCAATTACCCGGCCTCTGGCCCATCGCTTCGGAAACGCGTGCTCGAGCAAGGCTGTGGCCATCTTGTTTACCAGGGACACAGTCTGTGTCCGCACCAGGCAGGCTGTGCTCGCAACACAGTGAACACATATGAAGTTCATTCAGAGATTAAAAAAAAAAATCTTGTACAACTTCCACTAGATACATGTTAAGGAATTTATTCTTTTCCTAAAACTGTGAGAGAGAGAAATGTCAGATGCTAGACTTGGTCTTAAGCTTTTTTGGAGCTGAAACTTTAAATTGCCATTTCTAAAATGCCAGGTTGTAATTACAAGGCCTGCAGCCTGAGCAATCAGTCTAATTCCCTGCTTCCTGAGGCAACCAGGAAGCTGGCTGTGTTCGGGCAGCCCCTCCTCTAAGACTGTTTAGCAATGAGAATTGGTCCATGCCACTTACCATAAGGCGATTATGTGGATTAACGTGGCTATATTAATTAAGTGGTTAGACTCAGCATTTGTATTTACAGTAATTAATAGTAACTAACACAATTAATGTAATCTAAGGAATAATATGTATTATATATCAAGATAAAAATATAGAAGTGTGTGTGTGTCCATGTGTGCATGCATGTGCACACAAGTATGGTGGTTCCACATAGGTAGCAGAAGTGTAGGGTAATAGACAGACTACGGGGACCTGGGTTCAGATTGCACTTCTGCTGCTTAATTACATAACCTCATGAAATTATTTTAACTCCTGTGAACAGAAGAGAATAATAATTTTCATCAGGAATAATGTATGCAAAGTAACTACTTCAACATCTGGCACATAGTAGGCAATTTATGATTCGTTTCACATGTTAGAGGTGAAATTAAAATTGTTCAATAGTAGCAAAATATGCATAACATAAAATGTACCATCTTAACCTTTTTTTAAGTGCACAGTTAGGAGGCATTAGTGCATTCACGTGGCTGTTCTGCTGACACCACCATCCATCCACAGAACCCTTTTCATCCTGCAAAACTGGAACTGTAGCCCTGGCCAGTGTGCTCAGTGGTTAGAGCATCTCCCAGCACACTGAACAGTTATGGGCTGGATTCCCGGTCAAGGGCACATACCTGGGTTGTGGGTGTGCTCCCCGGCCCTGGTCAGGGTGTTTCTGTGAGGCAATCAAAAACGATTTGTTTCTGTCACATCAATGTTTCTCTCTCTCCCCTGCCCTTCTTCCTCCCTTTTACTCTCTCTAAAAATCAATAGAAAAAATATCTCAGGAAAGGATTAACAACAACAACAAAAAGAAACTGGAACTGTACCCCTTAAACAGTGACTCCTTATTCTGTGATTTGTAAGTTGAATAATGGGAGTAATTATTTTTTAAAAAAATAACTATATGCCCCGTTACAAAGTGAATACACTTCCAAAATGAAAATAACCACCCCTAACGTCTCACTGCAGTGTGTGTGATACAAACCTGAAGGGTACAGACAGTTTGCTTTAATAAAAAATAAGCAAACCAGGTAGATTGTTATCCAGCTCACTTACTGCCAGGTGTACTCAGCGCCCCTGACACGGTGGCACAGGCTCTCACTGAACATGGGACCCAATCAAGAGGAAAACAGAGCCCTAACTGGTTTGGCTCAGTGGATAGAGCATCGGCCTGCGGACTGAATGGTCCCAGGTTCGATTCCAGTCAAGGGCATGTACCTTGGTTGCGGGCACATCCCCAGTAGGAGGCATGTAGAAGGCAGCTGATCAGTGTTTCTAACTCTCTATCCCTCTCCCTTCCTCTCTGTAAAAAATCAATAAAATATATTTTTTTTAAAAAGACGAAAACAGAAGGTGGGAGCCCAGCCATCCTTTGCTCACTGCTTCCCTGGTACAAGGACGTGTCTCCTCAGAGGAAGGGACAATACCTTCCAAGCTGCACAAATGTGTCTTTAGCCCTGGGGGAAGTTTCTCAGGGGCAGTCATCAAAGTCCTGCGTCTCCTTCAGAATCCTGGGTCTCCTTCAGAATCCTGGGTCTCCTTCAGAATCCTGGGTCTCCTTCATCATGTTGGGTGCAGCAATCATGCCAATGTCAAAGGTTGTCTGAACTGCAGAGTAAATCCTCAGACTAATAAAATTCACAAGCGACTGTGCATAGCTTATGCTCTTACTGCGTTAACATACCAAGAAATGAAGCTGGCAAAACCACTAGATACTCCTGTCTCCTGAAGTTTTTCTTTTTCAATTAGCAAGTGTGTAGCAAGTCAAAATATAATCTGGAGATGATCACAGAGTCACAGTAAAGAGTTAATCATATGATTTTCATATTAGTAGCAACAGGCATCTCTGCCCGTAAGTGTGATACTCCGTAGGTCTTATACCGTAGCCACTGTCAGGGTCCCTTTGTGTCTTTTTCTGCAGATTTAACCCCTTAATTGAACCTGTTTTAGCACATGGAGATGCTGTAGTAATGATGAGTAACATCTTTCTCTCTCTTCCAGAAAGGTACTGCATAAAACATCATGAATTCCTGACATTCTATATAATAGGCCTCTTGGGGAAAAATTTTTCTTTATAGATGAGTCATTATAAATTCCATTAAATTTAATACATGCATTTTTTGACCTCTAAAATAAGCAATACATGTATTTTCTACCTTGGTAGGGGATATTATGTAGCAGCTGCACCATAACAGATGTTGAGTTGATAGTTCTAGTGTATTTAGAAAGGATAATCCTTTATCATAAAGAGGTAATATGCAAATTGGCCATCACTCCAACACCCAAGATGGCCACCCCCATGTGGACACAAGATGGCCAGCAGGGGAGGGCAGTTGGGAGGGACCAGGTCTGCAAGGGAGGGCAGTTGGGGGGGACCAGGCCTGCAGGGAAGGGCAGTTGGGGGGGACCAGGCCTGCAGGGAAGGGCAGTTGGGGGGGGACCAGGCCGGCAAGGGAGCAGTTAGGTGTTGATCAGGTTCGCAGACGAGTGGTTAGGGGCTGATCAGGCAAGCAGCTGAGTGGTTGGGAGCCAACAGTCCTGGATTGTGAGAGGGATGTCCGATCTCACCAGGATCGGGCCTAAATGGGCAGTCGGACGTCTCTCAAGGGGTCCCAGATTGGAGAGGTGCAGGCTGGGCTGAGGGACATATCAACAACCCTCCCCCCCACACACACACCCCGTGCATGAATTTCATGCACCGGGCCTCTAGTTATTCCATAAAAGTCAAAGTAAATATGTTAAATATATATTGTACATTGTTTTAATACTTACCAGTAAGCTCTTTCCCCCACTTTTTCGTAAGAGCACAGGCAGGCCTCTCACTCTGTATTGTCATGAAGGCTCCGAGGGATGCCGGTGGCAGATGCCCCACCTGTTCTGGTCCTGGCTCACCCAGCAGCTCCGTCACTCTCTGCCTCACTCGTGGATGAAATGACGTGATGCTCTCTCTTGAGTTCTGGGGATGTCGTAAAAAAAAAAAAAAAAAAGAAAAAAAGAAAGAAATCTAAGGAGTTTGAAGGATAAATGCTTTGTCATGGCCCCTCCCATTTTCTCTACTTGTCTTTCTACAAAAATACCCTGACAATTGTCAGATGGATGCCCTTCGATAAATTCAAAATGTCACCACCTCTAATGCTCACACAGCCCAAAGTAGAGCCGACAAGTTCAAGCAAAGGAGAACAAGAGAAAGAAGAAAGCAAAACTAGAGGATAAAATGGGAAAAGGGAGAAGATGCAAATAATATAGAACCATAATCGCAAAACCGTGTTCCACTTTTCCTCCATCACACAGCAGTGCCGAGCCTTCCCTTCCCCATCTTCCTCCGTATTGAGCGTGACTCCTTTGACCAGCAAAATCGCCACTCAGTGGCCACCTCTGGTACATGTCAAACGCTCAGTGCGATTACACATGTCCCCGAAAGCTCAAGGCAGGTTCAAATTTACATAAAAGCTATTTGCTAGACAGGTCAATGAAAAATATATTTGAGCAACACAAGTAATTTCATATTAAAGTCGGCCCTTAGTGCTCATTTTTAATAATTTTCATCACAGGAGACATAGAACTAGCAAATTTAGAACAACCCCACTCAATAAAGGAGAGTCGAAGTTAGTGCCCCCATGTTATTGCCTGAACAATGACAACTGTAAAATGAATACATAAATTCCCAAACCACCTGTGACTGGGAGCAAGAGATCCAACTAACGTTCGGAGGCTTGGGGGCAAATTTCCTGGAATGTACCATAAAGGGGTATTGCAAAAATGTCCCTGATTCCTCCCACAGTCCTCTACAGCGTAGGAGCAAGTTCATTTTGCAGACATTAGTGCAACTGTACATTCCATCTTTTCAGTGAAATCCTGACCCTTTTCCCTGGTTTGCAGAACTCCATTGCCACTTTTAGACAGACATGAAATGCCCGGGGCTGCTGTGCTGGAGGACAACATGCTCCAAATAGTGGTGATCCCAACACCAAGCTCAAAATAACCTGACTGGGGCTCCCTCTTGAGAGAGAGATCAGCAGAGATCACCATGTCATGCTAAAGACATGGGTGGGACATTTGTTATAGGCAAGGCTGTTTGAAACGTAAAACTTGGTTTGATTCTACTACAGAACAGTGGATGCTGTAATGGGAGCTCTCACACTTCATGATATTCAAGCACAAACACAAGAACAGCTTATAAAGTTTCCTGCTTTATTTTGAAAGTTAGACGAAATATGAATTTTAAAAAACATGAATACAGTAAACCCAACATATTATTACACTATGATTGAAAAAATATTAATATTTTTTATCTGTCCCCTGACTGGCTCTGTAAACTTCAGCCTCACCTCCACTGCCAGCCCATGCCATCCCCACCGCGCACACACACACACACACACACACACACACTGTCCATCACCCAGTGCTCCAACCCAGAATGAAAGCACCATTTTCAGCCTCAGGAGCACCCCAAAATCTCTTCAATGCTGAAATTTCTCTAAATTGATTCCTCTGCCTTAAATCTCACTCTCCAAATTTATCCCCACAATTCTTCCTTTGACTAACTCCTCTTTATTCTTCCAAAATACACACAGGCTCCAAACCTGCCCAGAATGGATGTGGCATTAAAACTAACATCTTCTTGGCCTTTTTGATGGCACCCTCAGAGCCCACTCTAGGTTAGAGGAGTTGGCTTGCATGGAGCTTTATGTGGGAGAGTTAACAAATACATGGTCCTGCCTGCTGGCAGAGAAATTCATTCAAGTCCCCAAACCCCTCCCCAGTACATTTTATTTCATACTAAGTATTCCACACTGAGTATCATATTGACATTCTAGCATTCAAAGTTGTACTTTTACCACCCAGATCACGTTTCATTGCCAATAAGTCTCTAGTCTCATGGCTATGGCATATTTGATTTGTTGCTTAAGCAAACAACAATGAAAGGCACCATTTCCCCACATCATAAAATTAATAAAATTACATTCATTGAATTTCTTTGAGAAATTGACAAAAAGCCATATATAATACGCCCTCATGCTTTTGTTTTGAATAAGTAGACACACTTAAGAAAATATTAATAAATGATATTATAAAAATATGAATCATCTTTATTATGGATCTATCCTTATAACGACCATTATTGAATCACAATTTTAGTTATATTATTGTTCTTTAATGTTAGATTTGTTAACAGCAATCATCATCCTTGTTTTTTCCCACTAAAAAGATATTCCTCTAGTTTAGAAGCCATTCTTGGGAGTAGAAGCTAGAAAACTATGCAACAAGGAGCAAATGTTAAATGTAAGGGAGGCAAGTGTTGCTTGTGCTACAACCAAAGAAAATAGCATATTCACTATCCTGGCTGGTGTTTCTAAGTAGTTGGATTTCCTGTCAAGGGTACCTGGGTTGCAGGTTCCGTCTGCCTGCCCAGTCAGGAGGCATGCAGCATGCAGGAGGCAATCAATGTTTGTCTCTCTCACTCCCTCCCTCCCTCCCTCCCACTCTGTCTAAAAATTTATGGGGAAAAGTCCTCAGAGGAGGATTCACAAAAATAAAGAAATAGAGAGAAGGGAGGGAGGAAGGGAAGGAGGGAGGGAGGGGAGGGGGAGAGAGAGAGAGAGAGAGAGAGAGAGAGAGAGAGAGAGAGAGAAGAAGAAGAAAGAAAGAAAGAAAGAAAGAAAGAAAGAAAGAAAGAAAGAAAGAAAGAAAGAAGAAAGAAAGAAAGAAAGAAGGAAAGAAAGAAAGATCTCTCTTAACACTTCATCTTACTGCAGGGTGGGCTGCTTTCCTGACACTGAGCTCCTTAATAAACTTTCTTCACCTCCAAGGAAGAACTCTGCATGCTCTGATCCTGAACCCTCTTCCTCTGTGCTGGGAGCTTGTGTTCCCTCCCAAACTACAAAACCAGGGCACGAAGTGGAAAGAGGAAAGGGCCTGTCCCCACTGTCAGGACCCAGGCTGATCTCAGCAGCCTCTATTTTTAGCCGGATTGCAAATGGTATCCATGATCAAAGCCTGGAGCCCGGGAGGAACTGGGCAGACAGCACGCAGTGGAATGCTTCCTGATGATCTGGAAGCAGGAAAGGCCTTCTGACATGAAAGACAGCTTAAACAGCACAAGAATAGCAGTAAACCAGCTGCAAAATGCTTAACGTTGCCCTTGAACGAATGCAAATTGTTCCAAATAATTTTTCCTTTTTCGCAGCCTCTGGATGCCCTGCTGGGGCGTTGAAACGGCCACATGCTCAGCGTACAAAGGCTTCCCCCAGTGGAAGGGACCAGTGTACTAATGCGCTCAGAACGAGGGAGGACACGCCGCAGCGCGGGCGCCAGGCCGCCGGTGCCTTTTGTCGCAGATGGACTCATTCATGGCAGGCATGTTTTGGATACTAAGCTCCCAATCAGTAATGTTGAAGAGGAGCTTATTGGCTTAGAAATACTCAGTTAACCACTGAAGTGGTGGGTAATTTATTTTTTTTAAATATATTTTATTGATTTTTTACAGAGAGGAAGGGAGAGAGATAGAGAGTTAGAAACATCGATGAGAGAGAAGCATCGGTCAGCTGCCTCCTGCACATCTCCTACTGGGGATGTGCCCGCAACCCAGGTACATGCCCTTGACCGGAATCGAACCTGGGACCCTTCAGTCCGCAGGCCCACGCTCTATCCACTGAGCCAAACCGGTTTTGGCAAAGTGGTGGGTAATTTAAAAGATAGCTGAGTTGTTGAGCCTTTCCTCAGACCGTTCATGCAACTGGAGTGTCTGTTTTCCTAATGATTAAGAAGCACGATGCCTACTTTTCTTTACTATTTTCTATTAGACAAGTATTCATATTCTATAGAAATGCTATGAATCCTACGATGTTTATAAATACTTTCTATGCTAAATTATGAGGATAATACTACTGTACAGTATTTCATGTTTACACATTGACAAAACACGTTCAAATGTGTGTTTCACAAAATAGTTCTCAATACTCTATTAATGTCCTCCCACATAATCCTTTGAGTAAATACATAAAACAAAAATTCTTTCTCAATGATAACTCTTCGAATCAATTATATTAATTCTATATTTAAGCTAAAAATTATAGATTAAAAAGAAATCTCTTAATACTTCATTATTAAAATTATAGTAGCAAATGCATTGAGTAGATTAGAAAACAACATGCTTCCAATTAAACTATGTTTTATTCCCCAAGAAAAAAACCATCTTCAAATAATGTGGCAGTTCACTAATAAAAGTTAGGCAGGGAGATTTACTTTAAAATCAAACAATGAAAAAAAACTTTTAAATTTCCTTAGATCCATATATGCTTGACTTGACAGAGGAGATGAGTTCCTTTAATAGTAAATTTAAATAAAATATTTACAAATCAAAACAAACTATATTTAGAGTTAGAGCTAATCATTAGATCATGATAAACTCTTCAGCAAAGTATGTTTTCCTATCATAAATTATTACCTTAACTTTATTTATTATGTCTATATTTCTACATTTGTCTAAAAATAATAAACTTATTTGAGACAGTTACTTTGTAGTCCCAAGGAGAATAAACATCCCACAAAACCATGGGTATATGTTGTATAACCAAGGAGGCAAGATATCTCTCTGCCTCAATCTCAAAAATCACTTTAAAACTAATGTTTTAAATGCAAACAAGCATGGAAAAGAGAATTTTTCCACAGTAATACCCAACTTAAACATGCTTATGTTTAGAAGCATCCCACTGGGGACTTCTCATGGGATCCATTATATATTTTAAATTTCGAAGTGCTTTTCTGCTAAAGTAGTCAAGTTAGCAAAACTAATTCCTTTTCCAGTCATAGAAAAGTGGTACTTTTTAAAATCAGTACTTATTTATATAATGTCATGCAAACCTATAACATTTATTAGTGAAAATACAGCATGTATTAAAATCTAGCCCCCACTCCCCCCAGAGATTTATTTCACATTATACTTGTTTTTACTTTTGTAATAATAACTATGGACACAATGAGTGCACAAAGCCTCACTGTGCTTCGTCGGGAACCAGCTAGACGGCTAACACAATTGCTCTGATTTTAGACCATGTTTTACTTAAGACTAATTTTTCATCAGTGTTAGAGGTTAATAACACTGTTATTTCCTCTATTACCTGGATTTAATAAAAGCAGTGGGGCGTAACATTCTGTAAAGCCAGGCAACAAGAGGAAATAACACGAATGTTAACCTCTAACATAACTGTAATGGTAATTACCCCAGTCTAGTTTTAAAATTAATGCCTTTGGTAGATTCCCAAGAGGCCCCAAAATAAGCTGTCTCCTCAGTGTTCTAGCAACTACCAAGATCCAAGGTCAAGGGCAAGTTATGCCATCAGTTTACATGCTTAACAACATTTATGCACCATATCGCCCTTTAATATAGAAGCACATTATATCAGGAATAAAACATTGCAATAAAGTAATAAAACTGTAATTATAAATTAGCTAAACAGAAAGTACATGTGGGAAATGTTAACAAGAAATGTTGCAATACAGAAAAGTTGATCCACCTTCTTTTATGTCAAATATAAAATCAAGTTACACACTGAGAGGTAGATAAATCCCCAAATTAAATACTTACGGAAGAGAAGCAGGCACAACAGTTTCATTGACATCTAACCAGCACCTTTAAAGGCGCACTTACGAAATTCCCATTGATTAGTGTGTGTCCATTCTCTGTAAAAATCCATTGTGGGTATTTTTATGTACATACTTTAGTAATTATTTCTACTGGATAAGCATGTTTTTGCAATGTTTTGGCAGGTAGCATTAACTTCAGTTTTATTACATGTCAACTTTGCCTTCCACAGCACCACGTCATGTCAGCAGCCTCTTTGGAAACTGTTGTCACCAAGTTTAAGATTCATTTCTATTAATTATCTCCAGTACTCAAGCCCTGCAGTGAGTGCACTGAGAACCAAATTCCAGATTTGTTTTTTGCAATCCTGCTAGGCCCTTTAGCATTTTGTAGATCCACCAAAGTAAAAATGTTCCAAGCTTTCATCTTTCAAACACCACCACTCTTATAACAGAGTTCAACCAGCTCTGATTTCCTGTCATCTTTTCATACTCAGTTTACAAAAGCAAAAATGTGCCCCCAGATTGTTGGCCCAGAATTTCTGTACGTGGATCTTCTCACTCATTCCCTGTATTCATCAAAGTGTGGGCACTGGGTGGGCACCCTAAAGTCCTTACTGGTTGGTAACCATGCCATAGTAGAACCAGGAGGGAAGGTCTCTGTTCAATCGGATGCAGCCCGGCCTCCCGCATATTGTTATATAGATCAAAACTGTCCAAGTCTGAGCACTGAGTCTACCTTGTCCTCTGACAACTGGCAGGTAGGGAGAAACTGCACTGGTAATTAGTTCTTTGTTAAAAATCTAATTAGCGTGACAAATGTAATTAAGAACGACAAAGTCATCTAAATAGTACCTGTCAGCTTGTTTTTGAAGAGCTTGAAATCTTTATCACCCCATAAAACATGGGGAGGAGAAAGCATCCAAAAGGCCTACAGGATGTTTCAGAAAGGGAAATGTAATATTTGACTGATGAGAAGGATCGCCCAGTGGCCCCGAACCATGAACAGGGTCACTTAAATAGACAGAAAACCCTCCTCAGGCGTGGTTTCTCCGCTGTGTATTGACACTGGCCCCTGTGCTGAGAGGAGGCCCCCACGGTCCCCAAAATGACCCCAAACTCCTGGCTGAGTGAAGCAACGCCGTCAGTGATGATAACCTCTGGTGCACTGCATGTGCAGCCAGCTCTCTGACACCTTCCCTCTGCTGGGCAACAGGCGAATGACATTTGAGGCCCATAGATTGGGGTGGGGGTGTCGATGAGAAAAGCATAAATGGATGGTGGCTAAGGGAAGCAAAGCCACACAGCTCATTGGTTAAAGAGAGTGGGCTGGGATGACACCCAGCTAGACCATTTATTAGCTATATTACCATCTAATTATTTCATCTCTCAAAGTTTCCTCACCCATAACATTAGCATTAAAACTGTACCTACCTCATAAAATCAATAAAATAATTCATGCAAAGCAGTAACTGGTACCCAATCATTACTCTCATGCATTAAATGCTCACTAAAACGACTAAGGAAATCAAGATTGTAATATCAAATACATATATAAAGTTGCGCATTCGTCTGTTGTTATCAAGACCACAAATTTAAGAGTAAGTTACTCGATTTAGAAAGATCCAGAAGAAGGTCATGTGCTTACATTATTTAAAAGATTAACATTAAAGAGAGTCTTACAACACAAGCCATACCTGCCCCCAAGAAAATGCTACCTTGCCTAATGAAGTATTGAGAAATACATGCTTGAAGAAGGAATAACAAATTATCGTTTCCTCATCATTTTTTCCTACGTTGGAATAAAGTCAAACTGTTTGGTTTATTAAAAATATTCAATCTGTAGGTATATTTGACAATATAATAAAACCTATCCAAATAAAACGATGACAAATAATATATGATCACTATGCCTGAAGAATTTAGAGTTGAATGGGAGAAACAGCTCATGCAAGAACAATTTAATTGTATGACTAACTGATGAATGCTGTGGACGAGGGGCTCCAAGCTTCTGGAGCAGAGTCCAAGGGAGAAGGAGGAATTCTTAGTAAAAGTGTTATCTTCCAGGAACCTAAAAGATTGACTCGGGCCCAAAGAAAAAATATATTTGTCGTTCCCTGAATGGACATCCTATTCCAGGCAAACTCTAGGAATATAACCAAATATGCAGCTGACTGCCCCACAACAAGAATTACCTAAATGGTGGAGGGGAGTTACCCCAGGCATTCCACCTTTGCCATGGCTATCTGGGTATAGAGAAGAAATTCCAAAGGAAAGATGAATGCCTCACCGCCTCTGCACAGTTTAGAAACTATCTAGAGCAAGGACCAGTCCTTACTGGGCACAAGAGCCTATCTAACCCTGGGGAACTTCTGGTTCAGGAGGATGAAAGCCATTCTGGGCCTCAACCCTGTTTTCAGCATGTGGCTGCAGTCCTAGCAATCTGTTCTAGGACCTCATACCTCTGAGCAGGGCGAGCAGAATTCTAAGTCAGAGCCCAGGCTTTCTGAACCTGCGTCTGCCAGGCTGGTGGGCAAATCATCTAGGGCCCAAAGGAAACAGGCTACAGGCGCTTAGCCATTCTTAGTTAACAGCAGGAGGTTCTTATATACAGAACTTGGGAGAGAAGGGACAATTGGAAACTAGTTACAGATAAAGTAGGATGTTTTGATTCAGAGTCAGCTGTAACCCAAGTTTGAATTAACTTTAGACAGAAGCTTTGGGAAATACTGACTTTAAAAAAAAAAAACTTTCTACATGAGCCTAAGATCATTACTCTTCCTGAAATACATGAAAAATTTAGTTAAATATTATTCACAAGCCACATCTGTGAATCAACAATTTACTAGGAAGAAATAGAGAGATTTGCCCAGTGGGCTTAGAATTTAAAGTGAAAAGCAAAATGGAAACTTTTAAAACCTCAGAGAGGTTGAGCTACTTAAATTCATTATGGGGGGGGAGTAGAGATGATATTTTCACTTCATCCTTGTGACTCATTTGAAAAGCTAAGTGCTCAGCAGCAGGGCAACTGCCATTATGTATCCATCCACCAAATAAAGCCATAGGAAGTCACCACCACCAGGGAATGGGGTCATGCGAAAGGCATTTAAGGAAAATAGAAAGTTAATCATAAATATTGCCAATAGAACAATACTCTTGATGCTGCTGTTGCCTTAAGTTTTCCCAACTGGCCCAGGAACTAAGTGACCCTAGAACAGGGATCCAGGCAAGGTAATTCCAGAGTGGAGAAACTCAGCCTCGAAATATCACTGTGAGACCTTATGTTTGTATGATTCTGTAACTTTAAAAATAAATAAATAAATAAATAAATAAATAAATAAATAAATAAATAAATAAATAAAATGGACAAGAAAGTTAGTTTCTTTGTTAATAATCTCTCCTAATCCTCTCAGTAACAACGGAGAGCAAATCAGTTATTTGACAGGTGAATAAAAGACCACAGTCTTACATAACTTGTCCAAAGCCCCAAGACCTAATGAATTAAATGTTTAGAACTAAAACTGACTTCCTCCAAGCAGAATTCGAAGTCCTCTTCCTGCTCTCCCAAACTGCACCCCATCTTGTTCATATTCTGAAGTTCACGAGCAACTGAATGGCTTTGCCTTGTCCTTGCAGATGATTATAGAATTCCTCCATCATTTAAAACAAACGTACTATAACCTTGGTTAAAGGGAGACAGAGGAAACCTGGAGGTTATTCTACATCTGTTTTCGTTACACATGGTCACCAAGGAGACAAACAGCACACAAGCCCTGCTTCTGCTAGCAGTAGTGGAGTGTCCCTATTTTATGTCCTTTGTGGCCACATTTGATTTTTTTTAAGAGGAAGACAATCAACAAAAACTCCATGTGCTGTTTCCTCTGTTCGCAAGAATTGTGACCTTTGCCTCTTATAAATCTATTCAAAGCTACAGTCTGGAGCGTGGCCGTTTCGGGAATGTCCGAAATATAGCTTGAGATTTATAGAGCTGCAAACGTTTCTTGGCTTTCCTGGGTCTCTTTTATTTGATAAAAATTAACTGGTAAACAAAGTGGCCGCACATCCCCTACAAAACATCCATTAGGTTATCTTGCTTTAAACCAAACCCGAGTTTGTTTGCACAAAGAATTAATGAGAGGGGTCATCGAAGGACTTCAGTCTCCTCTTCCACTCGGACACATTGTTTGCAAGACCAGCACTAATGAAGGCAAATAAAAGTAATTGACGTTCTAATGTAGAGCTTGCTCTCAGGGAGTCTCGCTCTGTTGTTAAAATAGAAAAATATTTTTCTTTTTAAAAAGTTCTTGAGGGGCTTGATATGATGGCAGTTGAAAATTCTGTTAGTGAGCGGAGACCAGGCTGCCCCCAGCGAGCACTGAGCAGTAATGCTTCAGACTTGCTATGCGAAATGTGGACCTGGAATGATGTGTCTTTCATAATGAAGGTTTTGTTGGTATTTAAATTAGTTGGAATTAATATAATACATTTCTATGGCAGGGCACATTTCAAGTTCAAGAAAAGCCTCAAGATCTAACATTTGGAAGTGTGTCTTAACAATTTACCAGAACACTGAGTAGAGCTGGTCACCTACCACCCCGCTTGGTATAGATAATGGCAGTGCCCACCTTTCTGGCTGAAATGGAGTTCTCGGAATAGAGACAGAATACCCGACTCCCACCTGTGGGAGTGATGCTAAAATCTCACCTGAAGCCAGTTGGTCTGGGCCACACCCAGTGGGGAAAGATCTCTGACTACCCTGTTCGCTCAGAGCAGCAGTTTCCAATGCACAGGGCCTGCCTTCCAGAGGATACACCAGATGGCCCATCCATTTTTAACTTAAAAAATAAGAAAGAACTAAGTTTACTAATATTTAATATACAAATTGAAACTGGTTCCATCATTAAGCTTAAGGACCAAAGGGATTAGGGATTATATGATAGTAAATTTCAGGATTACATTACACGGAGTAGAAAAATATTTACAATAATTTGTACTGAAACGAGGAGTTGACATGAAGATCCTAAGTACCATGAAGAGACTGCTTGTCTCCGGGTAAAGTCTGGAAAACAGTTGGAGAATTTGAAGATGAGTTACATGTTTTTC